GTGTCTGAACCAAGTTAACAAGCCAGCATCTAGAGATGGACAACCATGATTCAGCTCTCCAAGACCACAGAATAAATGCTACACCCTAAGACCCCAACGACCGAAACCACAAGCAGATGTGCTTGATTTCCACTGTTTTTATTTTTTAAAACGAAAATGATTTTGCACAGTAGCAGTCAATCAGAAGTGGACTGAATGTGAGCATTTTGTGCTGTTGCACATTTTTCACAATTGCATAATAAAAACAATATGCATTTTGTTGTTTGATATAATACTTTCCTTTGATTGAATAAAAACAGCAATGTTCACTGGCATGCTACTAGAAATAAACTGTATCAATGCCCTGAATAGTTTTTGTTATTAATTTAATTATAATTTGGCCCTTTATTTGATTTTTTTGCATGACATTTCATACGTTTACCATGAAGTGACATCTCAACCATTTGGTAGAGATCAATATTTTAAAAACTACAGGGTCTATTGAAAAAAAATTGATTGTGGTTATTATTCACCCAAGTCAATATGAAATGCAAACAAAAAAAATTTCCATTGCTGTTTTCTTGGTGTGGACCTCAAAGGGTTAATCAAACATTTCATACCTCAGCTGTCTCACTCTTACTATAGCGTTCTGCAACTGTGACTAACGTGAGGAGGCTTGGCTTTGGCTGCAGGTATTCCTGTATCCTTCTCAGCATCACACATGTGGGGACCATAAAACAGTTCAATAATACTTCTTCCTGAACTTTGCTTCCTCACAAGACCAAGCTGGCATCCTATGTTACACAGTTTTATCCCCCTGGATTAAGAAACATTTACACCAAACCATATTTTTGTTTTCTGATCCTGCAAAATGACTGAGATGAGCAAAGCCCAGAGAACACAAGATACACAAGATCCAACATTCAGACTCAAACAGCCTTCATAAATGAAACGCACCATGTTGGTCCAATACTAGATACCATTATATTACTGTGTATAAATAATCTCCTGAGTATCCTGAGCATGAGGTCCCATCAACAAACTGTAAACAAACATCTACCAACTTCTGTATTGGAAGAGGTCATGCCTAAAAATAGGACTGTTTCTCCGATCAAGGATCTGTGGAGTGTGTTAAACTGTGGTATAGGCAGCAGTCATTGAAATATTACAGTCCAAAGCCAAATGCAGAGGAAAGGGCAGCTCATACATACCAGGCCCACTGAACTACTCCACCTAGAAAGGAGAGGAGGGCTTCCCAATCCAGCAACAGTAGGTGACACATCATGCCAGCAATTTCTACCATGCAAATGGCGCAAGTCAAAGATCAGGTCCAAAATGACCAACACATCAAACATTCAATGCATACCTCTTCTGTTGTATTATGTTCGGCCAGACAGCGAGTGGTAAACCTCACATCCCAGTACAAACAGGAGACACCCCAAGCAAGAGGTCTCTAAGTGCAGAAACAAGTTGGGTTAAGCAGACGGGAAATGCGACTGCCAGTGAGCACAGAGCAATGACTGTACAAATCAGATAACAGATTTTCTACAGTCATTGGCATAAAGAGGCAGGTCACAGAGCCTTATATACACAGCACACCTGCTTGCAATAGGTCAGCAGATTCAAAATGCTGCAGATCACTCATTGAGAGCAGGTTTAAATCATCCTGTGACATTGTCCTGTGGACAAACGTCTCCGGGTGTATTCCAACCAGAAACCCTGGATGACTAAAGAGGTCCAGGTCCTGCTGAAGCAACGTGACGCCGCTTTTAGATCCGGTGATGGTATGCAGTACAGTGCAGCCAGATCTCAGTTGAAAAGAGGCATCAGAGAGGCCAAGGCAGCGTACAAGAGAAGGATCGAAGACCACTTCACCACCAACAACTCACGACAGGTATGGCAGGGAGTTCAGCACTTAACCAACTACAAACCTGGCAATACCACGTTGACTGAGGGTAACGCGGAGCTTGCAGAGGAGCTGAACCACTTCTTCGCACGCTTTGAGGTGAAGGGACCAGAGGCAGCAGCAGAAAAAACATCGGACAGCAGCAGCCCAAGCCTCATAGTGCAGGAATATGAGGTGAGGCGCACACTGAGGGCAGTGAACCCCAGGAAGGCCACCGGACCAGATGGGGTAACCGCAAAGGTCCTAAAAGAGTGTGCAGACCAGCTGGCTGGGGTCTTCACTAAGATCTTCAACACTTCACTGTCCCAGTCCTGCATCCCGCCGTGCCTAAAGTCAGCCACAATTGTCCCACTGCCAAAGCGTACTAACATTAGCAGCCTCAACGACTACCGACCAGTTGCTCTAACACCTGTTATAATGAAGTGCTTTGAGAAACTGGTCCGACGTCACATCATGTCCTGCCTGCCACCCACACTCGACCCGCTCCAGTTTGCATACAGAGCTAACAGATCAACTGAAGATGCCATTGCTACAACGCTCCACACCACCATCTCTCACCTGGAAGTGCAGGGCCGTTACGCCAGGCTGCTCTTTGTTGACTTTAGCTCTGCTTTCAATACGATACTCCCGGACAGACTAATAGATAAACTGCTGGAAATTGGACTTCCTTCCACCACCTGCCGCTGGATCAGAGACTTCCTCTCAGACCGTGTACAGAGAGTTAGAGTGGGGCCTCATCTTTCCTCAGCCCTCAGCCTCAACACCGGCTCTCCACAAGGCTGTGTACTGAGTCCCCTACTGTACACACATGACTGTGTTAGTTCCCACCCAGACAACACAGTCATCAAGTTTGCAGATGATACCACTGTGGTGGGGCTCATCTCAGGGGGAGATGAGACTGCATACAGAGCTGAAGTTCAGAGGCTGTCAGATTGGTGTGCAGACAACAACCTGGACCTCAATACCACCAAAACAAAAGAACTGGTAGTTGACTTCAGAAGGAGGAAGTCCGAGCTGCAGCCTGTCAGCATCAACGGGGAGTGCGTGGAAAGGGTCTCCAGTTTCAAGTTTCTGGGTGTGCACATAGACACAGACCTCCAATGGAGCTCTAACACCTCTGCGGTCTTAAAGAAGGCCCAACAGCGTCTCCACTTTCTGAGAATCCTCAGAAAAATGGACCTGAAGAAGGAGCTGCTGACCGTCTTCTACCGCTGCTCCACTGAAAGTGTGCTGACATATTGCATCGGTGTGTGGTTCTCCAGCTGCACCACAGCACACAGAAAGGCACTCCAGAGGGTCATCAACATGGCCCAAAAAATCATTGGACATCCTCTTCCCTCCCTGAAGGACCTGTACAGCACTCGCTGTCTCAAGAGGGCACGCAGCATCCTACGGGACTGCACACACCCAGGACACCGGGTGTTTAAGCTGCTGCCGTCTGGCAGGAGGTTCAGGCTGCTGAGGTCCCGAACAAATAGACTCAAGGACAGCTTTTACAACAGGGCAATAGCCCTGATCAATGCAAATAGCTGACATGACTGGATACCTCCCTGGACTTTTTAGGGGGAGGTAACAATGTTTAAAACGATAACAATAATATTTATATTTATAACAAGGTGCAATAATAATTAATGTGCAATAATAACAGTGTGCAATACACATACACTTATTCTTCTTTTTTATACTAAGTTAATATACTGTGTTGTGTTGTTTGTTACGTTGTGATGTGTCATATCGTGTCGTGTTGTGTTATATGTAGTGCCGACGTAGGACAGTTTTTCCAATTTCATTGTACTACTGTACTATGTATGACTGTGCAATGACAATAAAGAGTTATCTTATCTTATCTTATCTTATCTTATCTTATCTTATCTTATTAAAACCTTTCCCCCATGAAAGAGAGAATTCTCTTGCTGTTCAAACAGGGTGTGTGAAATGCACAACGCTGAACTGTTGCTGCATTTTCAGTATAGTTAAATTTTATGTGTAATCCACCTGGTTAGTACAACCACATGTGTCAGTTCACTTAAGTAGCAGTTTTAACATGTTCATTTCCACAGAAAATGAGCACAGCGGGTAACAATTACCTGGGTTACCTGTGGTTGTTTACATCCTCTGAGTGCCTGCTGATGTTTCTAGTCACAATGGTGGGTATTGAAAATGTGATCTGTTTTCAAACAATAAGAAAACATATAGATGTACAGTATTTTTTGGATATCAAGCACGTGAAGCACACTTTGTAACCAGTGTCTAATACATGTAGGCTAAGGGAAATTAATAATGTGAATAGAAAACATGCACAGAAAGTGTGAGAGTTTTAGTTTCTTTTTTAATAATTAATAAAGACACTATGCTGTGTGTGCAGTAAACATGAGCATTGGTCAGTTATAAAGGGATGTGCAATGTGTGTAAAACGTACTCCATTAGCTTAGGGCTATTGTTCCACATGGTTTTCTCAGAAATGTATGTGTCTTTGTCAGGTTGTTGTCATTACGTTTTCTTGTGCTGACCTTCATGCTTTGATTTATTTTATTTGCTCAAAGATTTGTTATCATTGTGCAGACTCCTCTTTTAGTTCTTCTTCTTCTTCTTATCATTATTATTGTTGTTGTTTTTAAGTTGCCTTTCTGACTGACTGCAAGTACAACCTGAGTTTCTTTCGGTGATAGAGTTAAACAATCTAGTTTAGAAGATACTAAATGTTTATAAGTGTAAATTGTAGATTTATCTGTCAGTGTTAATTAAATTTAATTTCTTATTTAATTAAACAATATTTTTGTTCAAGTGGAAATCTAAAATGAATGTCATGAATACATATTAACAAATGTACTTAAAAACAATAAACAGATCTGTGCTGTACTTGTTAATATTTGTTTTCTTCAGGTCTACTTCAGTCTTTTAAAGATAGAAAATATGTCCCGAACAAAAATATTTTTTCAGAGTTTTTATTTAGGCTTTTGACATTAAAACAGAGACAATGGCATAAAAACATTTGCAACATGTGATCTCTCATGAAAATCCAATAGAGAATTGAGAAAAATGAATCTTAATTTGACCTAAATTGTATTGTATACAATCAAGTAATAAGAGTTAAAAACAACAACAACAACTCAAAAGAAAAGTATTCAAAGAGTAAATGAAAATCACATGATCATCTATATTGAAGCAGTTTTTCAAAGAAATAGTTATCAGGCTTAGACTTAAACCACTTGATACACATTCTATAGGAATATTAGATGCACAGCGTAATAATATCACAGAGATCTGGGGGAGGGGGGGGGATAAAGGAAGAACGTAAGTTACACACTCAGTGCTAACATTTCTCCTTATTTTCATTACATTTCAGGCTGTATTATTGTTCTGAAGGGAAAAACAGAAGATCATATTTATGAAATAATTATGAAAACATTTCTTTTGTGGCGGATATCTAAAAGCAAGCCTTACATAGGTGAGATAATTAATGCTTTACACAGAGTGAGCACTGAACTACTTAACTGTACATTCAGTATGACGGTATCATTCCTGTCGGTACAGGAGCAGGCCTCCTCCCAGGAACAGAAGCCCAGTAGTGAACCAGCCAATGTAGAGTGAGGCTCCCAGCTGTACGCTGACACTACTGTCATATCTGTCCTTGTAAGACTCACGAATGGTGATGTTGGCCATCCAGCAGACAGGTATGAGCACCAAGAAACCTGCAATGATGAAGACAACTCCAGAAGCAAAGCCCGCTTTGCGTTTTTGCCCATCATCCAACATGAAGTTAATGCGCTTGTTCCCGGCCACACCAAGCAGGATTCCAAAGATCCCACTGAGGATTGCGATAATCACGAGTGCTCTGATAGCTTTCATGGTGTCATCTACCAGTCCTGGAACTACAACTTCATACTCAACGCATTCCATCTTGCCTGTGGCGTATATTGTACAGATTTTCCACAAACCATGCCATGCCCCATAAATTCCATGATGGTACTCAGTATTAATGAAGACTTTCCAGGCAGGGAGAGCACAGATCATGATGGTCCCCAATACACCGATGATGGCTAAAGCCAAACCCAAAATCTGTCTTCTACCAGCATCCATAATGAAGATCTTTAATCTGTTCAAAACAGTAAGTTGGTGTGTGCTTCAGAGCTGCAGTAATTGATCTTGTTAGTAACTGCTCATCAGGCAGGGTTTTATGCGTCCTAAACATTAAACGCAAATGGGTTGTGGCTTTCTCACCCACTTGGGGGTGTGTCCATATGAAGCCTGTGTTGAGGCCCCTTATCATTATCATACATCTCTCTCTCTCTCTCTCTCTCTCTCTCTCCATCCATCAGGTGGAAGGAGGGCGATACTGCAGGTCACTCCCCAGCCCCTGGTGCACACAGGGGGAGCAAATAATAGATAATAAGATAAGATCAACTTTGATTAATCCCACAAGTGGGAAATTTCTTTGGTCACGGCAGAAAGTGGACAGTACAAAGTTAAGAGCAGCAAAAATTAAGAAAAAAAAACCTGAATAGAAGATAAGATAGAATAATATACTATACAAAATAGAATAAAATGCTGTTGTATCAGAAAAAAATGCACTACTAGAAGGAAAAAAAACTAAATAAATTTAAATTTAGACTTAAATTCAATTTTAAGAAAATAATTTGGGGGTAGGACTTAAAAGACTTAACATTTTTTAAATTAATTGATTAACAAAGACCAGAGTAATAGTACGGCATAAATAAATACAGAGTATAAAAAACAACAGTAATGAGTGAACAGGATCATTATTATCATTATCATCATCATTATTATTATTATTAAAGAACAAATGAAGTTGAAATAAATAAAAACAAATGAAAAGCAGGAAATAAAAGGGTTCAGGGAGGTCTGTACACAATGAGAGAAGTCAATGTTCAAAAAGAGAACAAGGAAACACAAGGAAATCACTAAGCAAGCTGGGGTTACACTGACAGAGGTTAGCACAACAATCCAGCAAAGAACTCCACTGAGGCCTTAAGTAGGGCAGAAGGAATCAACGGTGATAGATGGCAGGTGAACAATTAGCAACGATGGAAAACAGGTGAGTTTGAATTTAATTCTGGATTTAACAGGGAGCCAATGAAGGGAAGCCAATATAGGAGAAATCTGCTCTGTCTTTCTAGTCCCTGTCAGTACACTTGGTGCATCATTTTGGATTAACTGAAGCCTTTTCAGGGAGTTTTTAGGACATCCTGATAATAATGAATTACAGTAGTCCAGCCTAGAAGTAACAAATGCATGAACTAGTTTTATCTCAGTTGTTCTTCTTGCTGAAATTTGGTCCGTTTACAGCATCCTGACATGTGATTGCGTTTGTCCCTTACCTCTGGGAACCAGGGGCGTTTTTAGCCCATTTTTGGGTGTGCTGAAGCCTCCCCAAAATGAATCAAAGCACCCCCAAAGATTTCTTACTTTTTTATTGACAATATTTACTGTTTGCATGACACACTACTAAAAATATAAAAAACATAAATTCATACAGATTGAGACGTAATATTTTAACAACAAGAGTATAGATATCCCCCCCCTCCAAAAAAGAAAAAAAGAATGGTTGTTCCAGCTCGCTCTCCCCTGCTCTGGCTCTATCGCTCTTTCTAAAGAGCGATATCGCTCTTTATATAGCGATAGAGCGATAGAGAGCGATAGCCCTCTATCGCTCTTTAGAAAGAGCGATAGAGGTGTGAATGCCTGGCTTAAAACAAGACATGTTAGCTGTATTTAACCTTCAGTTACTCTTTATATAGTTGGGTAGGAGTCAGACCATGTTTCTTTTTAGCTGAAAAACATTACACCAGGTAACCTGCAGTGTTGAAAACTTGTTTTCCGTCAATGGTGGAGGTGGTGGTGGTCAATGGTAACTTTATTGTCCTGAATGGGAAATTGATTTGCAGTATGTCCATACAGTGATATAAAAAAAACAAACACAACACATTCACACAAAAAATATAAGCCCCGACAACACAACCTAAATTTTATCATCAAAAAAAAAAGTGCAGTGTGCAATGGCAACAACACTTATGGTTTAGTGTTATTAACCATGATAATAGCAGTAGGTACAAAAGACAATCTATGTCTCTTTGTCTTCACTGCAGGCTGTATAGGAATTTCTTTTACTTATGTATCAATCGCATTAATTTATTGTATAAGGCTTGGTGCCACTGAATTTTAACAAGTCTCACACTCATACATTAAGACAAATGGTGGGGTGTAGTAAGGAAGTTGGGGGAAGCAGACAACTCCACAGGAAGAATCTTTTGTCTCTTCGAGGACTCTGGGAGGTAGCAGGGAGTGTGAACCTTAAGGTGTGAAACAGCTGTGTACTGCCTTTTGTTCCTGAAGAAGGTATGTAACTGTGAGCCATGCTAGGCTCAGTGAGACTCTGCTGATCGCCTGCCCTGCGGTCATGCAGGCTCTCCACCAACTTGGTTTTCTGTTCTTTGTGTGTTTGGATTAAAGAATGTTAGCTACCGCTCACCGCTTGTCTGCAGGCTTTATTTAATGAAAAACTTCCACAACAAGGCACTTTAGAACGACGACCTGATGGAAGCAGTTGGAAAATCATTAAAGAGGGAGATTATTGGATGATGGGGTGGGCGCAGTCTTCTCTGCGGTGGGGTCGGGTGGGCTGTTCCGGACTCTGTGGGGCGGTGCTGCTGCTGTGGGCGCCGGTCCGGATGGGCCTGGGCCCCCTTGCCCTGGTGCGTTCCAGAGTGTGGGGGTGCCTACTGGAGTCAGGGGGGGGGAGCTGGCCCCAGGGAGGGGCCGTTTGCCCCTCTCTTTCTTCCCATCCTCAGCTGCCTCCCTCTTCCCGCTCCACCACACCCACACACACACACAGGGCTTGGGGTGCAGGTGTGTCACCAGGGTGCAGGGGAGGCACTCCCCCTCTGTCCCCTTTTGGTCGCCTGTGCCTCAATTTTATTCCGCAACCTAGACAACCACATTACTCATCCTCTCATGACATATACATATAGGGCCTTGTGGACGCTGTATAACGTGCCGTTATACAGCGTCCACAAGATGGTCTGTGTATTCAAACCCACATAGGTGCTGGTGCCCTACCCTCATTTTTAAATGCATATAGACACTGAGAGTTTTCGGGAGGAGCCATGCTGCTCTGTGGCAGGAAGCACCATGCCCTCCTGTGTTTTAAATGCACTTTAGAACAGCACGCAGCAACATTACATATGAGCAGGTGGAGGGAGGTTCGGGGTCTTTACACGCCCCCGTTCTGTTAACTGTCAGGGCTGGGGGGCTGGGAGGAGGTGCTGGCCGTCAGATTGGGGACTGGGATGCGGGGCCTCCCCGCTACTGCAGATAAGGAGGCGGTCTGCTTTCCTCCACCCCAGAGAGAAGGGTTACATCTCCTGGGTCCGGGTGCAGTTTACCCCTCTGGAGGCAGGGGTACCTGGACTTGGGATATGGAGTATGTTTGGGGAGTGTGACTTTGTGTGCAGTCTCTATTTGTGTCTGTCTCCACGTCAGGTGAGTGCCGAGTATTTATTTGTGTATATGGGGGTGGGAATGCACGTTTGTGTCTACGTGCGCCTGTTCGTCTGTGTCTATATGTCAGCTTGGGTCTTAGACTCCACCTCTCTGGGTACATCTCAGGCTCTCCGAGGAATGGAGGCCTATCTCCCCTCACCACACTCCCTGCCGGTGGTTGATGCCCTCAGACGTTGGTGTGTTGGTGGTTCTTGGTGCCTGGGGCTGGGCACTAATATGTAGGCCTACCGACTCACTCCTGGTGGCCGATTGGCGGGGCCTGGCGCCTGTGGCCCGGCTGGGCCCCTTCCGTGGGGTGGGATGCCCTTCAGCCTCTGGGCCTGAGGCCTGGTCCTCTCTGGCACAGCTGGCTGCCGGCAGAGCCCGCGGGCACGCCACTGCAACCCCTCTCCTCCTTGGGTCCTCATACTCTGGGGCCTCTGGATGTCTGGACCACACAAAGGCAAATGTGTCCGACAGTTAAAGGTATAAGAATATGGAATTCTCTTTGAGATAATCTCAATCTCAAATATGCACAGTTTTAAAATGTGTTAGATACTTAAAATGATAAATCAATATGAAGAATACAAAAGTAATTTGGGCTAAATGTGGAAGGAACAATATTTCTTTGCCATCTAGTAGTGTTGTATATTGTTGATTATACTGATTTATTGTTTAGTTTAACATGTCTTGATATGTAACAATGCAAGAGTGTTTTTGGGGTTGTTGGCGCCCTCTTGTAAGGATAATTAGATTTCAGATAGGGGGCAGGTGCTAATAAGAATTTGTTCTTCTTCCTGTTCCTTTTTCACCTATGAGTGCAGTGTTATATTAATGGGAAAGAGGATTTGTATGTAGGAAATGAAATGCAGTTTAAAGTAATACAGTTACTTTTCCTAGTAATTACTTACTTTTATAATACTGTAACTCAGTTACTAACTCAGTTACTTTTTTGAAGAACTAGAAACTGTAACTAATTACTTTTGTTTTTACAACACATGTAAAAACAAACACACATTTAGTTTTTTTTTTTTTTTTATTATACTGCACTACAATTATACTGCTAGATAGATAAATCTCATTCCTCTCAATGGCCTCAGAGCAGTGAAAGGCAGCTTATACCGGTAAATACCAGAGTTTCATCCACAATGCGCATGTGAAAACCATGGGGGGAAAAAAGCTGCTGGTGTCTCAGCTTGCCCAGCTCAGTCAGTGTAATCGGGAGATGGACACGCCCACATTAAAGTGAGAGTCTGCCAGAGATTGAGGTAATCAGTTTTCATCAACAATAGCAGACTGTGGCCACAAGATGGCAATAATGTAAAGGTTAGATGTATCTAAGGAGAAAGATTGCTATACTTTGGTCATTTCTTCTCTCTGCCCTTGAAGGAAATATTGCTTTTCCTACTTTGTTCTTCCTGTCTGGATGCGCGCTGCACGCCTGGTTGCACACATTATTTCAGCAGTACTTTGAGCTTGGAGCGGAAAGGCAGCATGTTTTTTGGGAGGAAAGGTTTTATTCATTTGATAATATAGGAATCATAACACACACATACATTAAGCAATCAAATAAATCAGCAAATGAATCACTTTGGCTGCTTTATTTCTGCCTTGATTAT